GCACAGCTGAGAATAGTAGATTGGTGTCATTTGTCCCCTAGGATACAGTGTAAGTCTTCAATCTGTAGATGGATCCAAGATATAATATGCATAAAAATCCCACTGTAAGTCATAAAAACTTGGTTACTGGCGGGTTGGTTATAATTAATTTAAAGTAGACAAACAGATCACCTTGTCTTTGATTATAAATCAGGATCCATAGACCTCCCCCACTGCCCCAGGCAGGGGACTCAGGTCCCGCAGAGACACCAGGGCCATCACACATGACAAGCCAAGTCCTTGTTACTACTTAACTAGAAATCATATCAGAAATGGAAGAAGAACATTCACCGAAGAAAAGCTGAACAAAGCTTAGGAACACTTTAATATAATTTTTAATTAAAATATAATCATAGAAGTACCTTGATGGCCATAAGAATTGCCTCTTGAGCTTTCTATAGTCATTGATTAGTTTTCATTTTCAGGTGTGACAAATCTTGACCTTTATTTCCATAGAAAGGTATCATTATAGAGGGTTTTGAAGGTTTTGATTGCAACTAACAGTAAGAAATAAATCTGATATTATGACCCAGCATACACACATACATACATGATCAAAATCAGAGTTTCAGCTGGGTGTCGTGGCGCACGCCTGTAATCCCAGTGGCTTGGGAGGCTGAGGCAGGAGGATCGCGAGTTCAAAGCCAGCCTCAGCAAAAGCGAGGTGCTAAGCAACTCAGTGAGACCCTGTCTCTAAATAAAATAAATATAGGGGATGTGGCTCAGTGGTCAAGTGCCCCTGAGTTCAATCCCCAGTACCAAAAAAAACAACAACAACAAAACAGTTTCAAAAAATAGCATTTCAATTATTAAGTGCCATGACTCCTCTTTTATATTTCATTCTGATCCACTTTTTATAAATACTGATCATGAGAACTTCAAAACTGATTACATAACCCATGGATAGTCAAAACCAGTGATTTGAAACACCCTGAATGGAATACAATAGAGAGCCCAGAAATAGACTCACACAAATACAGCCAGCTGATCCTTGACAAAGGAACAAATTCGATTCAATGAAGAAAGGAGAGTCTTCTCATCAAATGGGGCTAGAACAAATGAACATCCACAATCAATCAATCAATGTAGGCTTAAGCCTTACACACTTCACCAGAGTTCACTCAAAATGGATCACAGACCTGAAACAAAACTATCAAACTCCCAGAAGACAATACAACATAAATTCCAGGTGATATTGGGTTTGATGATAACTTTAGATACAATACCAAAGACACAATCTATGGAGAAAAAATAAGAAAGGTGAATCAAATACCATTAAAATTACAAATTTCCCTGCCTCCCCCCCCCAAAAAAAATATTGAGTTGATATTCTTGTCAGCTTCTAGGCAAAGTGGATTTTCTAGGAAAATTAGATTCCCTTGACATTTCTCTGTGTATTCGGTCCACAGTAGACACCTCAGGGTGGCCTCCTCTCTTTCACCCTGACCTCACCAGTCTCCAGGGTTCCACTTTGCTCAGACAGTGGTCTCAGCATGAAGCCGCATCTCCTCTCCCAGGAACCTCCCTGGTGTGCTCACATGAGCCTTCTCTGTCATATCTTCACTTACTATATTGCTCCTCCACTACACACACTGCTGGCACTGGTCACATGAGAGAAGCCCATGTGCTGCCCCTATAGAGGTTGGACTATAAAGGAATGCCACCACTGCAAGATGTGCTTCCATCCTCTACCCTGGATCATAACATCCTCTGCCCCTTCTCTCCTGGGACACATTACCTCTAGGAAAAAATGTACCATGCTTGGGGACATTCTTGGTTGTCACGACTGAGAACTACTATCATCTAGTGAACAAAGGCTACTAACAGGGTACAATGGCCAGAACTACCCCCATCACAGAGCTACCTACCCATCCCCAACATCAATCATGCTAGGGTGGTTAATATTATGTTTGACTGGGCTAAGGGATGCCCAGAGAGCTTGAAAAACATTATTTGGGGGGGCGTGTGTGTGTGAGAGAGTGTTTCTGGAATAGCTCACTATTGAATCCACAGAGTGAATCAAGAAGATCCACCCTCACTAATGTGATGGACATCATCCAATCCGTTGATGGCCAGAACAGGACAAAATGGAAGGGGAGGAGAATTTGTTCTCTCTGCTTGAGCTGAGACATGTGTCTTCTCTAGACCTTGAATTTCAGAGTTCCTGGTTCTTGGGTCTTCAAGCTCAGACTGAATTACACCGTTGACTTTCCTTGTACTCCATCCTGAAGAAGGCAGGCTGGGGGACTACCTCCCTAATCATATGAGACAATTCTCATAATAAATCTCTTCTTCTAGTCCTAAATATAGATGAATAGATAAATAATACATATATACTATTACTTCCAATCAGTTCCAATTTTCTGGAAAACCCTAATACAAGTCTCAACCTTGAGGTTGGGTTGTATTAGGTTGTATTGGGTTTGTTTCTTTCTTTTGTATTCTAAGCATTTCCATAGTCCCCATAAAACCCACAGCTAATAAGAAGGAAGACGGGAAATGGGAAAAGAGCCACTGTCGGGAATGGATGTCATTTCCTGTGTAGATTTGTCTACGGGGAGAAAAACTGCTGATCAAAATGACACTACTAGTTAGTTATCTTTCTTTTTCTGTAAAATTTTAAATTGTGAGAACTCTAAAGTGATTTTACCCAATCCCATTGCTTCAAAATTCTTTACAACAATTCCAACTCATGACATTATTTCCTGTCCACACCTCTCTTCAGGACTCTAAATTCATATATTGAAAGGCCCACAGGACGTCTCCACTCAGATAATATATGAATTTATCTAAAATTTAATTCCCAAACTGAAAATTCTTGGTGTCCTTCCATCCCTTGATCCAGTGCTGGTCCCCACCAGTCTATCCCTCTCAGTCCATGGCTTTCATCATCTGCCCATTGGCTTCATTCCCATGAAGTCTCCCATCTCTCTGACCCCTCCCTCCTCCCCAGCAGCCTCCTAATATGTATGCACACACATGCACATGTCTAGCCAGCACCCTACCCTGCACTCTTTCTCATCTCGGTGCCCTTCCCTCCCCAGCCCATCCCAAACTCCCACCACATTCCACGGATTTCCGTGCTTTTCTCCAAAGCTGAAGAATGGAACACTTTCACTCCTCTCTTTCTGGTCCTGTTTTAGTCAGCTTTTTCACTGCAGTGACTAAAAGGATCTGACCAGAACAACCGTAAGGAGGAAAAGTTTATTTGAGGGCTCACGGTTCCAGAGGTCTTAGTCCAGAGAAGGCCAGTTCTGTTCCTCAGGGCTTGAGGTGAGGCAAAACATCATGACAGAGCGTGTGGTGGAGGGAAGCAGCTCACATCATGGTGATCAAGAAGCGGAGAGAGACTCCACTCTGCAGATACAAATATGTAAAAAATATACAAATATATAAAAAATTAGCCACACCCTAATTCCCTCCTCCTCCAGCCACACCCTACCACTTCAGTTACCACTCATTTAATCCCTATCAGGGGATTAATTCACTGATTGGGTTAAGACTCTCACCACCCAATCATTTTTCCTCTGAACCATCTTGCATTGTCTCACATGTCAGCTTTTTGGGGAAAACTCACATCAAAACCATAACAGAGTGATTTTAAAACAAAAATGAGTTAAGGGAACAGCTTTCTGGAAACACTTCAGTGCCCTCCATTACAGTTTAGAGGATACACATTATATAACATGGCTTGCAAGAGCCCCCACTTTGTATAGTACTCTGGGGTTGGCTCTCTTGCAGGACCTTGAAGACACCACACTCTTTCTAGCCTCAGAACCTTCACAGATGCTGTCCTTCATAAGGTGTCCTTCCCTTGCTCTTCCCTTGCTAAGGCCCATCAGTTCATGGGAGATTGGGTGGGGAGCCCTTTGGTGTGTGTCCCTCTGTGGCTGAATTACAATTTCTTCTTCCCTTTTCCCCAGTGGCTCTTGTAGAGGTATTGAGTCTCATCAGTGTCACTCTGTTCCTCTCTAAGGTCCCAGTTCCAACAGTATAAATCTTTGGCTCCCGGCCCCACAACCCTGTCCTTGCCCCCCTAGAGCTCTCTCAACTCTAACCAATCTCATTGCTTCAAAATTCTTTTCAACACTTTCAATTCATGACATTATTTCTTAGCCTGGGAAGCAAACACCTGTGGTGACAGCCATTCTGCCCTCTGTTGCCTTGTGTCCAGTCCTTTAGTGTGTTGCTCCAAACACAGCGTACCCCCACTGGTATGAGTTGGCAGCCTCTTCGGGTCTACCTAGAAGCCTAGCGCCCAAGCTCTCTGCAGTTTTCCTGTGCTTTTCTCACTGCTGCTTTCTCAGCTCCTTGCCCCAGTAAAACTCTGTCAACTTTTGTTTTTCTAGAAATTGGCCAAAATCTCATTTTTGAAGTGTTGTTTCACATATCTCATCCATCATTTCAATGGATTTGGGGAAGGAAGATGGCACTTGGGTTCTGCCAATTATCCAGACATAAAGTTTCCAGCCATAATTTTTCATGTGCAGTACTAGAAACCTACAGGCTGTGTTGGAGCTGACTCCAGGGGCAGGAAGCCATCTTTAAAGTGGACTTTACCTGTGACAGTGCTGGAATTTGTGGAATGACCTAATTGGAACTGTTGGGAAAATGGAGTAGGCATACAGAGTTGTGTTCTAAGAAAGACCCAGACTGGGTCTGGGGTTGTGGCTCAGTGGTAGAGCACTTGTCTAGCACATGTAAGGCATTGGGTTAGATCCAAAGTACCACATAAATAAATAAATAAATAAATAAATAAATAAATACATTCATACATACATATACAACTAAAATTAAAAAAAAAATTAAAGACCCAAACTGCTAGAGATTAGAATGATATAGGTTCAACAGGAAAAAAAAAAAAACTTTCTTAGAAGCCCAGAGAAGATCTTCTCCCTCTCACCTTATCTGAATTGCCTTGACCTTTATACCATCAGAAATTAATGTTTAACCAGTACACAGACTACAAATACAGATAGGGAAACGTGGGTTCCAAGTTGCAAAGAACGTAACTGCTGAACACCAGGTTTTCAGCTGCTTCTCCACATGCTTCTCAGTTTCCAAAGCTAAAGGATCCCAGACAGGAGAGTCAACCAGTAAGGAACCAGAATTCCTAGCAGGTGAGTCTCTGGCATTATACTCTTATCATATTACTATTGTTAGAAATGGTAACACTCAAACTTGACTCCTGGAATGCACATTATTGAATATTTGATGCAAGCATAACTCTCTGGAAAAAATGTGGGTTATTATTAGCCAAATGCTCCCTCTTGTGCTGAAAGTTTAGCAGAGGTTCAGTTCTATGGGGACTATCTGGCTGGTTGCCCACTCAGATGCACACAGGCGCGCGCGTGCACACACAGACATACACACATACACAGTCATGTGCTGAGTACCTGAAAATGACTTCATGCCTGCAACTCTACAGCAAATGCAGGTGACACATGAAATCTACTTATCCCTACCATGTACCACTGAGCTGATGTGGGTACTTCATTCCCCTCAGCCTCTGTTTCTTTCTCTTTAAAATGAGAATTTTAATGGTACCTAACTTGTGGGGAGCATTGTGAGGATTAAATTATAGAACATTTTCAACATATACGTGTGAGATAATTAATAAATATGATAAATATGAAAACTTATTTGTGATCTGAATAATATCCATGCTTCTGTGAAGGGCCCTCTCTTTTTTTTTTTTTTTTTTTTGACACGTGGTATTGTCTGCTTAGAGCTAAGTTTGTTTTTTTACCTAAGCAGTGTGAGTTGAGGAGAATTCAAAGCTCTTTCCTGCCAACTTTTGTGCTGATTATAATTGCCATTAGAAGATAGAATCCTTGAGAAGAAATCAGTGGTCCTCATCCAATGTGAGTTAAAACCATAATTTTTAAATATTCAGATTGTGTCAGGCTCCATCCAAAAAGAGATTTGCATCCTTTATCTCTAACCATAGCCTCATTTCACAAGTGGGCAAATTAAGAAGTACTAAGGGGGGAAGGGCAAAAATCTCATAAGTAGGAAAGATAAAATTAGAACAGAAATTGTTCTCAACTTCATAGCCCAGTACTTTCTGCACTCCTGCCATTCTGAGAAAAAATTTTAAGCACTTATTTGGGCCCCATGAGAACCTCTTGAGATTAAGTTGTAGGATCAAAGATGTGGTGAAGGAGCAGGACTGTGAGTAGGAGGGGAATGTGATGTGGGTGAGGATTGGGACATGCCAGGCGAGGCAGCCAGGGCACAGCTAGGAAGGGAAGGGGAAGTACAGGGCTAGAGGGAGGGCAGAAAGTTCTGGGCATCCAAGACAGTATACAGGGTCAGCAGCCATCAAACCAACTAGGGCTGGCATGGCCTTCTAGGCAGATCTCCCTACAAACAGCCCTTTGCTCCCAGTTCTGAGACATCCCCCAACAAAATGGGCTCAGCCCTTGGTACTTCATGGTCCACTAGCCATAAAGGACGTGCTCTTGGATGATTCCATGAGTCAAGGAAGTCATGGATGATAAATGCTTCTCAGAATGCTGGGGTCAAATTAGTTCAACATTTAGTCTTACTCTTTGGGTTTACCTAGAAGAAGGTGCACAAAACAGATAGATGCCCTGGTAGAGTTTTTACTCTGATTGCCTCTCAGAGTAGATGCATGACATACTTTGATCCACAGCAATGTTGGCACTGTTCGAAATCTAAATCAAAATTTTCAGTGTTAAAATTACCCAGGAGCCAGGTAGCACGTGCCTGTAATCCCAGAAGCTCAGGAGACTGAGGCAGAAGGATTGCAAGTTCAAAGCCAGCCTCAGCAACTTATTGAGGCCCTCTCAAAATAAAAAAAAAAAAAAAATGAAAAAAGACTAGGAATATGGCTCAGTGGTTCAATCCCCATACCAAAAAAAAAAAAAAAAAAGCATGAAGCATGCCAAGCATGTGAAGAAACACAGCTATTTTCAGGCTCAAAGAAAAGGTTTTCATGTTTGTATAGGGTCACTTGAGTAATCAACTCAGTAATTTAGTGTCTTATTATATGAAGTGACAAAAGTTTCACTCCACCAAGGACATCATACAATTCTAAACACATGTTGAGCTTCAAATATATAAAGGAAATCTTGGTACAACTATGGGGAGAAAACAACAAATATATTACCATAGTGGGAAATCTCAATACATCTTGACCAATTATAATTGTCCTTCTGTATCCATGAAAGATGGGTTCCAGGACCCCGGTGGATAAAAAAAATCTGCTGATGTGCAAGTGCCTAATATTGAGTGGCAAAATATTTGCATATAACCTATGCTATCTTCCCATGTATTTTAAATCATATCTAAGTTAGTTACATTTTATTAGTTAGTTATTTACTGCAATGTAAACACTACACAAACAGGTGTTATACTATATTATTCAGAGATAATGACAAGAAAAAATAGCCTGTAGATGCTTAGATAACATTTTAAAAAATATTTTCGATCCATGTTTTGCTAAATCCTCAGACGCGGAGGCTGACGGTGTAGTAAATTGGATGACAGATCAAACAAACAATATATTAGTAAAAGTTCAGAAAATGTCAACAACACAAGTAACAATCTTGGCATATTGGACATATATGGGACCCTAGCCCTAATAATTAGAAAACACAGTTCTTTCTCAAGTGCACCTGAAAGGCTCACAAAAGCAGAGGTAATATTAGTCCATATTGAAAATCTCATCATCTCTCAGAGAACTCTCATCACACAGTCAACTCAGTAATTTAGTGTCTTATTATATGAAGTGACAAAAGTTTCACTCCACCAAGGACATCATACAATTCTAAACGTGTGTTCTCTGATCACCATTTAATTAAGTCAATTAAATTATAACTAAAAAGCTAAGAAAATGCTCTCTTTCTTGCTATATATATGTATCTGGACCTTTCTTGAAATGCTACTGAATAACTCATGCACCAACAAAAAAAAATGTAATAGAAATTATATACTACTTATAAATGATAATAAAAAAGTGCTGCAAATTAAACTTTGAGTTGTGTATTGAGAGCAGTGCAGAGAGGAAAGTATATAGTTGTAAATACTTATATTAGAAAGTTTAAAAGTCCAAAAATTAATGAGACAATCTACCAACCAAAGATGTCAGGAAAAGAACAGCAGAATAAACCAAAAAATTAGTGAATGCAGACAATAATAAATATCATGAGGGGAAAAATGTCAATGAAAAGAAAAAAAAGGTGAAACAGAGAGGGTCAAAAAAGCCAATTTTTTAAAAAGCTCCAACACTGATTAAATAGATACTGTTCTGGCAAGATTAACTACAGATAAAAATAGAGAAAAATAAGCAATACCATTGTAACGAGAAAAAGGATATAATTATAGACCCAGTGAAGCAAAAAGGTAATATCACTTTTAAAAACCTTGTCATTGATTTTTTAAAAATTGACAAAATAACATCAAATTGGATTTGAGGAGAATTAAAAATTCAGAATAGTTCTTTAATAATTAAATAAGTAGATTCCTTTAAAACATTCCCTCAATAAGAGAGGAAGAGCCTAAATTGTTTTGTGTGTGATTTCTAACACTTTTTTAAGGATTGTACAACTCCAAATTTAAAAATTATTGTTTTGGGAATCAAGAGGGGAAATTGTCCTTGGATTAGTTTATAAGAACATATAATTTGACACTTAAATTAGAGCAAGTTGATTTTAGGAAGTGAAAATACAATTGGGAGTGTGGAGATGCCAGGAATTGAATTCAGGGACACTTGACCACTGAGCCACATTATCAGCCCTATTTTGCATTTTATTTAGAGACAAAGCCCCACTGAGTTGCTTAGCGCCTCACTTTTGCTGGGACTGGCTTTGAACTTGAGATCCTCCTTCCTCAGCCTCCGGAGCCACTGGGATTACAGGCATGCACCACCGTGCCTGGTTACAATTTTACTTATGAAATAGATGCAAAAGTTCTACACAAAATGGTAGTGCATCCAAGTTTTATCCTGAGAGTAAAAATATACTTGAAAATGAGAAAATTTATTAATGCTATTAGAATAGTTTTCTGTGGCTAAAACAAAATACTTGAGATAATCAACATAAAAAAAATAAAAGGTTTATTTTGGCTCACAGTTTTGGAGGTTTCAGTTCATGATTTGAGTCTTTGATGAGGCAGAATGTCATGCCACGGACTTATGGCAGAGGGAAACTCATTCACTTCATAGCCAGGTGCTAAAGAAAGGAGGAGGAAATTGCTGGAATTCCAATATTCCTTTCAAGGGCACATGCCCAATGACCTAACTTCCATTAGGCCCCCATCCTTGAAATTTCCACCCCTTTCCAACAGTACACTGGGCTGGGGATACAGCCTTCAACACATAGGCCTTTGTGGAACATTCTAGATCTGAACAGTGGTTCATCCCATTAACAATCTACATGAGGAATGTCATATGACTTCTCTCTTTTGACATAGAAATGAATTTGATAAAAATTACACATCTATTAATTGTAAAAATAAGCATAGGAGAAAACATAGTAAAGAATTTCAGTCAAATGCTACAATTAATAGTGAGATGTGAGAAGCACTCCTTTTATAGCCAATCTGATAGAATGTTTGCAACCACTGCTTCTAATCAACCATGTCCTGAGCAGGGACATTTTCTAGTAGCCCCATTTTAAAAAAGTAAAACATATATTTGTATTACAACAGTATGAATATGATCTACAACAATTGAAGCAAAGTGTAGTCCTGTAGTCCAATTATGCATAATGGGGAATTTTGAAAAACTACTTCAGTTTTTGGACTGCAGATTAATCAAATAAAAATAAATTAAGCATTCATTTCTCCGTAGCACAAGCTGCATTTCAAGAGCTCAACAGCCACATGTGGCCTGGGGCTATGATATTAGCACAGCAGTAGCACACTAAGGCCAGGAAATAAATCAAAGGTAAATAGTCTAGAAAGAAACAATTGTTTACATGGAGATCAACCTGAATTAACAGACACATTATTAAAACGTTCAAGAGAATATGGTTAGGTATAGTACAAGGGTCAATACACAGAATTCAATTACAATTCTATAAGTTAGCAATAAACTGCTGCTTTGGGGCAATTTCCTGGAGGAAAGGAAATCCTTTCTTGGATTACCAACTGA